CGTTCCTCATCCTCCTCCTCTTTCCACCTTTTTCTCCAGGCACAACATTCACTGTGGAGGAAGCACAAAATGTTCAGCAGCAGCAGCAGCATTGTCATTTGGAGCGGTTGTGTAAACAGGGTGAGATGATTGCATTATGATGCAGCCCTGCCCAGAGACTGTGACATAGCAATAGCTGTTGTTTAGCCTCAGGTGCTTAATTCTGTTTGTCAGGAAGTGATGTTGCACAAGCAATGTGGTTAACAAAAAAAGAGGGAACAACAGGCTGATGGATGATGGAGGACAGTGCACAGCTGTGTTGGGAAATGACCTGGGTCACAAGTGACTCATACATGCGTCCCATGCATTATGTGTGTAGACTTTATTATTTAAAATCGGAGATGCAGATGGGATTTCTTTACGTTCACATTTTATGGATAGACAGAGAGAATGATAGAGCAACTTTTTCTACTCTGTACCACCTGAGAAAACATTGATCTCTCTGAGTACCACCATGATGACCAACATAAGAATATAGCAGCAGAGGCCTTCCCTATTAGCTTCCACCACACAGGAGAGATGTTTATTAAAAGTTTAAATTTTGTATTTATTGAGCATGGTATGTTTCAGATTTATTCAGTTGAAAATGCGCTTGTGCCACAGTTTGAGAACCACTGACATAGAGTACAAGGAAAATGCTTATTATTCTGTTTTGAAATGCACATTTTCCACCACAGATACATTTGCTCTCCACACTTACCTGCAGGTCCTTGTTAATATAAATGCATCAAATACAGGGGACACACAGCAAATAGTAAAAGTGTCACAGTTAGTGGATCAGCACGGTGTTACAGCGTTTTGCAGGTATTTGCAGACGTGCAGTATAAAGGTCTTTTTGCTGTCTCCTGGAATTTCCGAGGTTTGACCCTAAGGTGTTTTAATGAAAACCTTTGGGTATTGCCTTGATGACTACAGGGAGAATGACAGTGGAATGAGAGCATGATGAACACACCATGAATCTCCTCTAAGCCTGGTAAACACGAGATCGGCCTCACATTAGGTATCTCCTCTGAGGCTGATTACCGCCTGTTTTTTTTTTTGTTTTTTTTTCTTCCCTGTTTCCAACGTCGTTTACCAAAGAGCCACTGGGTTTCCTTATACTTTATGGGATGAAGTACGTTGGTGCTGACACTGAAGACGAGGTGGGATGTTCCATAAAATAAAAATTGAAACCATGCATCAAAATGTTGTCCTGTGTGCCTGTTACAGCTTAAGAGCTGTAATTACAACAATGACACAGAGGTCAGAGGTCAGCGGTGACAGACGTAACAGTGTTCATACAGGGTCTAAAGCAGTGGTCCCAGTTCTTCAGACCAGTTCTACAGACCAGCAGCAGGGACGTGTGTGCATTTATAATATATATAAAATATATAATTGTATTGGTTTTATTTTAGATTATGTACCTTTATTTGAGGGATCTTGGTTTCTTCTTGATTGGTGTTTTGTCATAACGTCAAGTTCTGATGTACCGCTGACAGTTCTGCTGGAGACTGACACGGTTCTGATGTTTTCAGGAGATCAGGGGACGGGGTGCGCGTCTTCTGGGACCGGCTCAGAGAGCCCTCCTTCATCTCCAGGTGGAACCCGTTTGCCACTGACTTCCCTTTCAGCACCTTCACCTACCACCCTGTGAGGAACACGAGTGACACGTTTGAGTCTCTCTGCGACGTGAGTCCCGCCTATATGTCATCACGAGCACGGTGTTGTATAAAGGAGCTGGTTAACCTAGATTTTGAACAACATAAAAATAGGTTTTCTCTCTTCCACTCTGTGTGTGTCACTGATTGGACTGAATCACTGGATTTATTTAAAAATGTTTTTCTTTTTCGTTTCTACAAAAAATAATGAGAGAACTGCCCCAGATTTTTAAAATTCATTTTTCTATTTCTATTAATGCATATAAAATGCAAAGTATAGAATTTTATTAAGAGTAGAATTTAAATTTATTTATTTTACTGATTAGTTTTAGTACTTTTTTAGTGCGTTTTTAGTGTATTCTCGATCTTTATCTCTTTATTTTATATTTTTGTTCTCCCTGTGGCCCTAATACTCCACAGTACCTATCCTGTACTTTTATTTGAATTGTGTGCATAAAATTAATAGGCTTTTGGAAAGCAGGGTGTTTGTCGCTCAGTTTCATGTTGTTAGTCGGTAATATTGAATTTGCAAGGTAAATTCAAGATTCAAAATTGTTATTGGCCATTTGTGCACAAAACCAAACACACGAGTTCTTGTAGGCGCCCCCCCCAAGTTCAGTAATAGAGTAGGCAAATACAACTATATTATTTAAATTATATGGAAGACGTGAATTTAAATACATCTTGCTGTACTCGCTGTTGTTTTCTTTTTTTAAAACACATCAGTGTGAGTGATTGGCAACGGAAACGAAATTCTAGTTTATTTTCTTTTACTCATACAAAATAAAGCTGAATAAACGTCCTTTTTGGTCACACTTTGTTATAAAATTCAGTCGAAAAATTAGGCAATTCCAGAGAAATTTCAACATGTGTTAACCTTCAGAACAGATAAGTCAGCACCAGGAAGACAAAAGTGAGTTGTTTTTGACTCACCGGTAAAAGTCATCACGAGCATGCTTGTTTTGCAATCTGTCCAAATTTCTTTTAAAGTCTCGTAGCCAGGTTATTACTCATAACGTGCATTATACACAATTCACTGACTGCGCTGATGACGAGTGTCAGCTGAGCTCCACATACCCACGCACCACTGCTCTCTATCCCTGAAGAACATGAAGTAACACTGCAACACTAGGAAAAGGGAAAGTATACAAGGTTTGGAAATACTGTTGTATTTGATATCTCTGTAGATTTGTTCTTTTCTCCTCCAGTATGCTGCAGGCTGTTGTTGCCGAGGTGATAGTGTCCCTGTTTACGTCACACAAAGTTAGCTTGAATGTTGGGGCTTAGGTATCAGGTCGGACGGAATATAGTTGTTCTTGGCATTTAATCTGTAAAGTTTGATTCGACAAGTATCGGACCGATACCGATTCTTAGTATTGGATTAGGCAGGCCTGTCAAAATGGTGGCTCAGTGGTTGAGGAAGCAGACTTGTATCTGGAAGGTTTCAGGTTTGAATCCCAATAATGCCAAGGTTCTTTCAGTTTTACTTCATCTCAGCAGCCATTCAGGAGTAATATACCTCAACACAACTCAAGTGTCAGTAAAAAAATGGAGTGAGATTACAGCCAATACTCACAACATCAATAGGTTCTGTTCATGATTTTAGCCAAAAAACAGAAACATTGTAGTCCGTAAGACTGGACATGTGGGAGAACAGTGAACATTTGCTCATTTCTATTCAAAACCATGACCATCTTTCAGACAATGAACGTCCAGTGTGAGCCAATAACAATAAATACAAAAAGTGAACTATTATTATTCAACACTGAGTTCACGTTTTTACTGTTCTGTTCTCTGCAGATTCATACGTTCCGTGAGCAGCTCAAACAGGCTGCTGAGAGGCTTCATGCCATGAAGCCAGTTCCTGGGAAGGCCAACGGAGTCCTGGTCCTGAACCAGGCCCTCCAAATTGAGGCTTACGTTGGCCTCATGTCTTTCCTTGGAAACACAAACAAACTAGGTTACTGCATGGCAAGGGGAAACATCGGCTTTTAACCCTTTTTTTTTTTTTTTTTTTTTTTTTTTTTTAAGTCTGCAACATTCAAATAATTGTTTTCTTCCTGAACTCTCGTGGATAAGTTTGATGGTGATATTAGACCAAATATTTCTGGATGTTACTTTTTAAGATTAAGTCTGTTTTGGCCTAAGAAGTGTGTGTGCGCTTTACAAGGTTTTTTTATGTGTTCTCTCCCCCGGCTGCTAATCACCAGTGTGTGGTGTTAGAAATGTCAACAGAGTTATTTACTGGTAGACTGATCTCTCCCTGCTCTTTGTATTTGCCCCTCAGTGACATGGCGTCTCAACTCTTCTTTCTTTTTCCCCCAGTGTTGTTCTCGTGTTATTTATGCCCTCAGAGATTCATTGCAGCACGGTTCCTCGGCTCGTCTGTCAGTTTGTCATTCGTTGTGTATTGTTTTTTACCCTGTATACAGCGCTGGAATTTCCCTTTTGATTTGTGTGTTTAGAGTGGGCCGCTCCACATTGTTTACTATCATCAATTTTCTTCTTTAAGTCTGTAACAGACATTGAAATGGAGAATGGCTGGTATTTGATCTCGTCCTTTGTATGTTGTTATGAATGAAATTAAGTTTCTTGCATAGTTTTTTTTTCAATGCTATTGAAAAGTTTGATTTCATTTGCAGTAGTAGTTATACTTAGAACTATTGCAGGGGGCTACAGCGGTGCAATGGCAGTTCACCTGCCTGCCACCGGAGGTCTCACATCTCAGGTTGGGTTGTCACGTGATTGACGTAAATCGAATGTAAATGTTTTACTGTGGCTTTTATTTCCATATAAAATATTTTGGGGACACGGGTGCAATTTTATGAAAAGTTGTCACTATACGTCGGCTAACATGTTTGTTTACAGGTATATAGATTTTTATTTGTTGATTTTTGGTATTCTGTCTAAATTTCTGTCTTCCTTCACATTTTATCATCTAGCATCCTTAACATGTCATGTTTGCTGCCATGTCGTGTTTTAGGGGGAAAAAAATCTTGCCTTTCTTAAATTGCAATTAAAATATGTTGTGAGGTAATTCAGATGGACCTAGATTTAAGAGGCCTAAATTATGTTAAACGCAGGACCTAGATTTAAGAGGCCTAAATTATTTTAAACGCAAACAACAACAACAGAAATTGTTCACACAAACGGTAAAGCCGAACACTGAAGTAGAGAGTAACACACCTCACTTCTGGAGTGTGCCATCTATTGGGGAAATGCAGGTATTGCAAGGAAAGGGCAGACTAATGTCTATGGATTATATAATTTAATTATATAATTTGGACAGGTTGGGTAGGCCAGATTAAAAAGCCTAAGAGTCCATATCCGGCCCCTGGGCCATAGTTTGCCATGTCTGTTCCAGACTGTTAAAATATGGAGTAGTTCAGTTCTCAGATGTTGGAGTGAAAGGAAAAAGACAAATGAACTGTGAAATTATATTTGTAAACCACCAAAAGTATATTTCTATTAAACTGAGAGCTGTAACATACAGTAGCTAATTTAACATTTAAGCCCCACCGGAAAAAAAAAAAGACCCAGCAGTGTTTACAAATTGGGAAGTCGTCTTCTGAACGACGGTTCAAGAAAGACGGACTATCAGACTCTTCAGGCAATCCAGTGAGGGAACTGGACTCACTTTGCCCTAAAAGAAGCTGTCCTTGTGCACACTCAGCTGTTATTCCATATGGTAAAGTATATGGTTAAGTTAAGCACCTATGGTATCACGTATCACACCCCTAAGGTTGGAAGGGGTTAACACGCTTCCTCCCAGAAGGAGGACGTGTCTCTCATCCTGCATCAAGATCTGGCCTGGAGCAAAGAAAGACCTCCTCCACATTTCTGCTTCTCTATTTGTAAAAAGATGTTTTGCAAACAGGATTAACTGCCTGATAAATTCATTCATTCATGAAGAAAAATTCTGCTCAGTCCGTCAACAAATCCTGCGTACTCCATTTGTTTGGTTTCCATGGAAGACGTTGGCAGCCGTCTTCATTTTATTGTTGAACTGTCATGATTTTATCTTAGCTGCAGGTCAACTACTCACTAAAACACTATGACAGCAGCAGGATAAAGAGGGATTCAAGTTGTGTCATTGGAACGAATAGAGCGTTTCTTTAGATAACAGTGCAGCAGCATTTGTGATTGCACTGTTTGCTGTCAGGACAATCATTTGTGCGCGCTCTGACACGTTCCAGATGGACTTTAATAGAGCTTTGGTCTAATTTTTTTGTTTCTCTTCGGTCTCTTATTTTGGTAACACTTTAGTGCAAAAAGCATTTAGATGTGATGAGACTTGTTCCTGATACAGGGATGGAGGATTCAGTGTTCCGTGTGTGCAGAGATGGGTGTGCAGCCGGCAGGAGGGAGTGAAGCCTTATTGTTGTGTCAGATCCACCTCTGTCCTCAGATGCTCCTTTGAATTAAAGAACTTTTTTTTTTTTTAGCCCTCCAGGTACCAGATATGATTTAAGGCTTTGGAAAAAATGCATCTGTACTCGCTCATGTGCAGTAATCAAAAAGTACTGATTGTGCAGATGGTGGTACGTGGCTATGTACTGATGTAGTAAACCTAGGGAGCCTGTCAAAAACTAAGGAGCATTTATTAACCATTATGTAGCTCCTCTCAAAACTGTAAACTCTCCCTTTAAAAAATATTCACTTACTACCTGTAATATGTCCGATGATACTGCAACCCGGAGTAGCTGCTGTTGCTGCGGTGATTCTGCAACCCGGAGTAGCTGCTGTTGCTGAGGTGATTGTGTGTTTTGTTTTGGGTTTTTTTTTTTGTTTTTGTTTTGTTATGCTGAAATTTGATCAGTATTGGACCAATACCAATCCTGAGTATCAGCTCGAGCCATCTCTAGTTTTTACCCTTAATAATCTCCTCAATAATGTTCATCTAAGAAGTTTAGGAAACTGTACATGCATTACAGTCTCTGCTCAGAGTTGAGTATGGCGTTTATTTTGTTCATATCAGCATTGAACATGAACCTTTCCTTCCTGTAGTAGGTGCTAAAGATACATTCCAAACCCCTGTTCTGTGATTCCACGCTAGAGTAATAACATTATTGGTTTGTTGTGTTTTGTGTTTGTTTGTCTAAATGTGCCAAAAACTGTTCGCAAGAAACACGTAATATGCTCAGGTTTAGAGATTAGTAAATGTCTGATGGATAGAAGAACTGCACAGACCTCACCCTTCAGTCCTCTGTACCTCCAGGGCCCTCCAGTCACTGTGTTACATGAGTGTTCACAGACAGGAGACAGTCCTAGACACACCCTGCTCCCTCTGATTGGCTAGTATCTTTTCATCAGTGGTTTGGTTGGTAAGTCCACTCACTCATTCTGCAAAATGTATTTCAATCCCTCCTTTCCCCTATAAACACAGGGGATGCTGTCACACTGAAGGTATTTAAATACAACGACCTTCTTCTTAATGGACTAAATAAGTCATGAGAATTCAGTAAGATTTGTTTTATCAGTAACTGTCAAAAAGTCCATCAAGATGTTCCATTGACTCATGTTATTGCACATTTCCTTCCTCCATTGTGTGGCTGCTGGGTGGTGGTGGTAGGTGGGTCACACTCTTGGGTGTGTTTCTGACAACCAGGTTGCTTGTTTTTCTTGTGAGATCTGGCAACGCAAAATACCACTTGCATGCAAAAGTGAGGTCAGCATTTCTGAGAAGAGCTTCACCTAAATCTTCAGTCAAAAGATTGAAAAAACTGTTCAGAGACATTTCTATAGACTCAGAATAACTAAATTCAAGTTTCTCTAAAGATGTACCTTTAAGCCCAGCTGGATGGTAGGACACATATGGAACACAGTGTTTCCTGAGGCGTTAGCGCTCTCTGAATTTGAATTTAAGCGACAGCAGCGTTAAGATCATGTGATATAGGAAGGTAATAATAGCTCTAGCAGTAGATAACACCTCAGGTAAACCGGTTTATCAGTTGTTCGACTGCTAACAGTTCTACATAGGATTCACTGTCTACTAATAAAGAGGCTAATTCCATGGAAAATATTTCATATATGTGCATACAAAATAGGAGCAATCGGCCTCAAGTGTTATAAAACTTTTGCAATTCAGTGGAGCAAATGAGCACCAGCCTCGCTAAAGCACACAGACTCACATGATAAACGACTTGGAAGAGGTAATGGTTGCATTCCTGTGTGAATAGGTAAGTCTGTGCCTTAGGCCCTGAGCTAAATAAGATGATTTGTTTTTTCACTCCCAATTATTTTCCCCCAGTGGAACATTGAACTGTTCAGGCTGAATTTTCCAGGCTGAGGATTTCCTTATACAGTTAAGCAAGGCTGTCAATAGAAGAAGCATCAGCATTAATAGTGATTGTACAAATACGCTTGACGCGAGTGCTGCTCTGTCAATGGTTTCCACACTTTTAATGGCCAGAACTCGTCCTCTGTGCCTCCGCTCCTATGAGCTGGTGTACGCAGCAATAACCATCTTCTAACCTGCGTGGATGTCAAGCCTGCTGATTGTGACTGTTTTCCTTCCTATCGACCTTTTGTCTGTTGGCAGGTGCTGTTTGGTGATTCCTTCTTGACAGGCTGGCCTGGTAACTGGAGGATTGACAGTTTGAATCCCGGCCTTGGAAGGACTGCAACAGGACCCCAAATTCCTCAGATAACAGAGCAGGTGTCTTAAGACATACTTTAAGCCACTGGATAATAATAGTAATATTGATGTTAATAATAATAATAGGTTGTGTTGTTATTGTTGCTGTTGTTTTTATTATTAGAATTATTGTTGTTATTATTACCATATACTTGCTTGAAAATATGCCACTCTAGTAACTTGATTCTCCATGACCCCTTTCACCACAACCTGCCGCGCACCAGTCGACCAATGTTGGGTGTTTTCTATTGCAGTTGAGTGTCTCATTGCCCTAAGACATGGGTAGTTTACTTAAATAGGTCAACAGTGTCAGGGAACAATGACAAAAGCAAGACGAGCAATTTGGTAAACATCTGAAGAGTTGGGAATGCACTAATGTCTCTTCTCAGTGAACAGCAACGGGACTTATTCAATCAGATGTCTCTTTTGAAGCAGAAATAGAACAGGATGAAAATGCTTGAATCTCACTTTTAGGAATGTTACATTTTAGTTTAGAAAAACATATTAATTGGAGTTCAGACTGTGAAAAAAATAACGTACGTCAAGGTGACAGGAGGTCAGGGAGGTCACTTCCTCTGTGTCTCCCTCCACAGGTCTAAGGTGAAACTGTAGCTGATTTTTAACACCGTGATGTGGAAGATGATCAGGAAAGTTTAAAAACTGCCCATCGGTGCCTGTGACCCTGGATGGCCCTGGTGAACAGGGCTGTTTTAAATGCTTGGGGCAAGTAACATAAGACAAATTCTGCACTGAGACACTTTTGCTGTGCTGGCGTGGCATGCAGGCTTCTCATCTTTCTGGAATTCCTTCAGAGCTCTGATCGATATGCCAGCTTGGATACCAAGCTTCTTTCCACAGGTCATACATCCTCAAGTCACCATTTTCATTTCTCCGATGTGTGTTTGGTAAACATGTTACACCCGTCGGAGGAATGTTGGTTGCTAACGAGCCAAGTCCAACAGCATTTAAATATTTAGTGGCACTTTCACCCTTCTTCTTACCTCTTCCATCTGTTGCCCTCGAAACAGTGAATACAGGAAGTGAAGACGGAGTGAATGTGTGAGGTGTGGCCTGTGTGTGTCTGTGTGCGCGCACACCCGTGTTGTATCACAGTAGCATGTGTATGTACACAGAGGTTGTTGAGGTGTTGTCTGGCTTCCTGTAATGTGCTGGAGGTTTAGACACTGTTTTTTTATTTATGCCAGTCGCAGCTGTCACTGTTGTGTCTGGAGTGTGTTTACTGAACTCTGGGCTATGGACTTGGATTTCTGTCAGAACCACTGACCCTCCCAACTACAGAGAGCGCGACGGTCCAGAACACACCCTGGATTCCTGTCAAAGGAAACAAAAGCCTCAGCATTCATGAAGTGTTTCACCTTTGGATGACCTCTGCTTTTCTTAACGTTACTGAGAAAAGATCAGCGATAAAAATGTCTTTCCTCCTGGAAAGTGTAATTTAAGATTAATATACAGAACACTGTAGAATCATTGCACTTGATAATCATTGAACAAGACAAAAACTAAAGAATTGTAATACTAAAAAGACAGTAATTTATGTGAAAACAAAGGGGACAAGTAAAGGTTTAGCATTATGTTTTGTTCTGTATTTAAATTGGTGTCTTTCTATTGTACAGTCATGGGAGCCTCTATTCAAACAACCAGGTTAAAGTTATATACCTACATTGAAAAACGTTAAAAATATATTATAAACATTATTATAATATATACACATAATATATATTTTATAGGTTTTGGTACTGATTAAATGCATGTAGCTGTATGGCACGATATGATTAAATTCTAAGAGTATATGGTCACTATAACTGCATATAGAATTATATTGATATTATTCTTGTTTAAATTGCTTTTAGTCTACCAGCACTACCTTTGTAATCTAGCATAACTGTAACCACTAATACTGCTACTAATACTATAACAACAACTACTACTAGTAATAATAATATTCATATTATTATTATTAATATTAATAGTGTGTATTAAAACGAGGGCTGTCACAATTACTTGATATTACAATTAAGTGCGTATTAAGTTTACAATTAGAATTTATCGTTTTCCTTAAAACCGTTAGAAAGTACTATAAGGAACTATAATTAAGCGCAACTCCAACGGAGCGAAAACAAAGTTGCACAACACCCGCGTTCTACCGCGTGTTTTGCTTTGTTTTCGTTCCCTGGAAGCTTCAGGTGTGGGAAAAATGACGGAAGAAGAATTATTCCTCCGAAAAGTATGATTATTTTTGCGACTATGGATGACGGACTGTCAGCATTTAAAGCATGGCATTAAAAACTCATCGGACTCATTTGTTCGTCAAAGTACAGGTAAATACACAACACTGGATTATATTACGTCAGTGTTTTCCTTACGTAACATTGAATTGGTGGGAGATTAAACGTTAGCGCGTCATTTGCAATTTATTGTGTACAAGTACGACACTGCTTCGCCTTACGTATGCCATGTATTCTTCTCAAAGGCCTCAGTAAATGAACATTTAGCATTAGCTCCGGTTGAGTAGACGTTGGTCCTCTGTTTCTGACACTATGGGATGTCCGTTTTATAAGTAATTTGTGTATTTGTCATATTTGTGTTTGTTGTCATTGTAATTTAAACACAGATGATGACTTAAACAATTTGAACAATAAAATAGGTAGTACATATGTAGCATTTCTTTTGTTGTATCGTTTATAGGAGAGTTTTTTGTACTTTTTGGTGACTTAACTTTTCTATATATTTTTGTTATGTTGGCATCAATAGATAGAAATGAAAGAAACTGTAGGACCTACAAGAAGTGTTCATGTGATTTTACAGATTCATAGTATTGTGAAATAAATAACGTATAATAAATTCTCTGACAATAAACTTTACACAATCCCACCTCTCTTGAGATTTACTACTACAATAAACTTTACACAATCCCACCTCTTTTGAGATTTACTAAGTTTTTATTAGTTTAGTGGCCAAGCAAGTATTCAATTAATTGCAAAAGAGAAAAAAGTTTAAGGAATGAAAATGTATTAAAATTATTTTTCAAGAATGTAATGAATATGACATTTCATAGTTCTAAAGAGTAACTTGAATAAGATAATAATAATGATCTCCTACTGTGTAGCATTGATAGCATTTTTTTTAATTTAATAAAATGTTGAGATGTACATTAGCACATTAGTGTGTGGAAATGGAAATAGGTTTTTGTAAAAGTAATAATAAAATCTGGTTAGGAGAATATAAAGCAAGGAAATTGCTGAAGGATTTGGATGTCAACCACCGTAAGCACACATGAACCCCAGTGTACATATTTTCAGACAGTCATCCTTTGAATGAAAGCTTCGTGCTACTACTATTGTATTCTAAGTGCTAGGAAAAGTAAAAGGTGCTAACTGAGCTGCAGTTCCAGTCAGTACATGTCAGTTGCACAAACTGATGAAAACTACCACACTGGCATGTTTCCAATATTAGACTACTGCATACTATAGTGACTGCGCTGCATGACAATGATTGCACTCACACATCACCATATCTCACATGTCAGACGGTGTATGTGTCCCTTAGAAGCTGGACAGGGGGTCGGCAGTGCTGGGACTAAGCCCCGATGACAAGCCACTGGAATGGCTGCGGTGGAGACGCATGAGCAGAATCTGCATGAGGAGGAGGACGAGGAATGACCTGAGCTCCAAACAAACACACACAGTAGATAACCCACATAATCCACATGTTAAAATCCCATAACTGCGTTTAATCTAATACATGTGATATATTTTTATTACTGTGGTGAAAAAATGTGGATTTGATTTATGTTGTTGAAATGGTGGTTTAGACTTTATGTTCAGGCTGTGTCTGTTTTAGGGTCCAGCTTTTAACGTTCACCTCTCTGCCAGATGGAAACAAGCGTCTGTGTCTTTTACACATGCAAATACAGGCATAGTGTGCTTACTGTAGTTTAGAGTACAAACTTCTACAATATATCTTAATGTGACTCATTTGAAAGTTTCTTTTATTTTGACATGTTCATTATATTTGAATATTCACCTAGCAGTCAGAAATAATTGATCATATACAGCAGGAGTGGGCAAACATTTTGGCTCGCAGGCCAGAATGAAGTTCAAAATTTGGTGGGTCGTTTTAGTATCGGTTGGATGCAGAATGCTCGTTGAAATAATATAAATAAAAGCAGTTGGTTTAAACATCGTTAATTGTATGGGTCAGGGTCCTGGGCTTGACCTGTTGCACAGGACACAAAAATGCTATCTGGTTGTGCTCCATGACTTCTCCAGCCCCCTGTCAAGCAGCCCCTTGTCCTCAGCAACCCTCCACAGTTGGCAAATACAGTGTGTTCTTAATACGGCCAGTATGTTTGAACGCAGAGGTCCCGGTAGTGGGAGATAAATTGAGAGCAAAGAGATGTCAGGCTGACGACAGCTGTGGGCTACAGCCGAACCAGATGTCTGCCAATGTTGACCTTCAGTCGATTCGCTCTCTCCTGCTCTTTCAATGCACATTGAATATTTTCATAGCAGAATTTGTCTGTCATGCCTCCCATGTGCTAGCGCCATCTAAGACTCAAACTGCAGGAAAGAAACGGTGTCAGTTAGGGGCCGCTGGCTTTTGTTGAGATGGTTCTCGTTCTATATCGTAAGCCTTCTGTGTAGAGTTTGCTGGTTGTACACGGTGTGCATTCGATTTCTTTAAGTACCTCAGCCTTATTTAAAGCCTTATTTAAATAAATAAATACACAGATAAATCCTTCATTTAAAATGTTTAACAATGAAATCATTAAAATTAAAACACAAAAAGACGATCTACTAAGGTGTTTTTCATACATTAATAGAAATAATAAGAGAAATTAGTTTTGCGTGTTTTGTTTACCTGAAACTTTGCCTACTCGCATCTCTTTTGTTTTGCTTTTTATGTAGTATTGTTCCTGGCCTATTAATGACTTTAAATGACAATCCTTCCATTCATCCATTCAATTCATGCAGTGCTTTTTTTTTCCATTAAACAACCCTCCACGCCCATTTACTGGCTTCTTGCTTGAGGACACATCAGCACAAATAAGAGGAGCAGGGATTAATCTGTTAACCTCTTCTTGTCACTCTTCCAGCACTGTTGCATGGAAAGGTTTCAGGAGAACTATGGCAATCTTTTAAAAACAAATCAGATATATATCCAGTCAATATGTATAGATTACAGTTGTGCTATACTTTCATGGCACTCAAATAGTTTTGTTAATTTATTTTGTTTTAAGTTCTCAGGCCCCAGTGTTGCGCAATACATCAGTTGAGGGCCTTTGATTTCTACTTGATAATGTAATTCCAGGCAAAAGAAAAAAAAAGAGAAGAAAAACAGAACCACTGCATAGAGGAGTTTGCAATATCTGCTTTACTCATAAGAACCATTTTTATGGAAGGCAGAGGCATCAGTGTAAAAGAATGTCTAGGACATCATGTGAGCTTGACTCTAGGGACTGTCTGACTTTTGTGCAGTTCAACTCATATATTTCATGTTTTGAAAGATTATTATATTTATATAATCATAAAATTATAATTATTTTTTGCTAGAATTGTCTATGTTTATATGCGCACTAGGGCAAAGCTGTACTTTATAGAGCTGTAAAAAAAAAAATAAACAAGCAATTAGTCAGTGAAGGCGGCATGGCATATAGCATCTCTAGAGGCTAACATTTTCCTTAGGGTTTTATAACTGGGATCACAAATTGGCCAATTCCAGCCCACAAGCGCCACTAATGGACCCTGCAACAGGAGTTTTAATTTTGCTCTAGAGGATTTTTTAAAATGTAATTTAAATTGTTTTGTTAGTTCATTCGTTAATTGTACTTATTTGCAATGTTATATTATGGAGTATGATTCAACAAACAAAATACTTCTTCTAAAATACCATGATTTTTTTTGTATTGATCAAAACCTGATGTGGCAGCCTATCACATGATTTGTAAGGGAATAATCACTAATCTTAAAAGTTGTAATTTACTTGTGCTTGTGGAAAACATTTTGACCAGGTTACTGATTTTTGTCTGTTTGAAACAATTCTTTGGTACCACACAAATGTCTGTATTTGTGTGTGATGTCTACAGCTTGAATTGCAGGAGCTTATTGCTGGCCACAAGGTGCCACTAACAAGGCTGTATCCTTGCCTGTTGTTAGTTCAGTGCAGATGTGTTCCCGATTCTCCCTGGTCAAAACAGTGAACTGAACCGAGCCTGAAATGATCAGTTACATTTCTGTGCTTCCTGGCATTGCTGTTACCTATTCATGGCCATTTAAAATTGTTTTGATACGTGTGGGTGGGATAGTGTGGTGTTTTAAAAGGCCTCACATGTTGAAAGACAAGGTTCTTTTCTTCATGTGATGACTTTCAGTGACGAACACTGACGGAGGCAGGAGCGGTATGATCCAGTGGGTGTCCGTGTGGAGTCAGCTGCATTCTGCGGTCGTGCATTTAGAGAACCACCGCACAGTACAATATGATTCACACACAAACTATTTGTGTGATCTCACTCTGCATTATTATCTCTTTTTCATACTGTGCTATTCGAACATCTCACCTGCTTATCCCACCTTTGCGTGTGTGTAAAAATACTATTGTTGTTGGGTCTTTATGTCCTTGTGAGTCAAAGAGAGATAGGGTAAGAATTGAGCTTTGGCATAGCATTTGTAAAAGTTAATGTTACTGTAAGGAGTTGCGTTATGTTGATGTGTGTTTGTGTGGTGCAGCTGAGCACAGCTACTTGCTTTGGCAGGATGGGTGGGTCTAAGGAGTAATTTGCTGTGTGCGATTACACAGAGAAGGCAGATGAGCAGATGGTATCGCTGTTATCTTTCCATTCTTCAATTTTTACCCCCACCCCCCAAAATAAATACGAGATGTTTTAAAACAACACTTCATGTCATTCAAGACTTTAAAAGACCAAGAGTTTATACCTTATATCAACAAGGTGTGTTTGCTTTAAGAGTGAAAGTTCATAGATTTGTCTTCTGTTGGATTCTCAGAGTGGCTACGAGAGAGGGACATGTTGAGTTTTTGGATGACTTACCTTAGCATCTTAGTGTATAATGACAAATGTCTGTCAGGTGTAAGGCGTGTTTTAAATGCTTGATTCGTCTTTTGTAAAGGTAAAGGGCTTTGTTTAAAAAAAAAAAAAAAAGGAGTGAGGAAAGAATGATTGCAGGAGCCAAGAGACATCCTCAGGACCCTGAGGCTCAACAAACCAGTCCTGCAGCCTTCTCAGCCAGCCCGCTGCAGACTTAAAAACGGATTTGTTTTTCAGACCTGTTATTTTCCTGCCTGGTTAATAGTGACTTCTTCCACAGCAAAGCAAAAACAAATACAGTGCAGTCTACAACTCAAGAATTACTCGTACAGCCATGACAACACATTCAAGCCTAATACTACTTCTTAAACCTCATAATAAACACTGAGTGGTCATACTCTTTGTCTTGTCTTAGTGTAATATGCGGTTATTATTGTTGGCAACGCATGATCGCACGCATGATTAACATTTTCCCAGGAATTTAGGCAGGTGAAAAGCACTTAAGCTTGTTATTTGTTATATGAGAGGGAGCTGCTTGATGGAGTCATCAAATTGTTTCGAGGTCTTAAAATGTCTTCTTCTACAGTTTAAAGAAAGCACCTCCTGAAAGATGCAGAAAAATAAAATGCAAATCTGAACATTATTCCAGGAATGATGTTGACAATACATTCTGACATTTGTACATGTACTCTATAGAGTACTTTATCTAGAGATAGAGTGTGGGGTTTAAAGGTTTAGCAAAAAAAACTAAAGGTACAAATTGGGAACATAGGACATGATGTGGACCTAACACTCTAAAAGTAAACAAACACGACACACATACTCATACACACTTTAGAGTAGAAAGAAAGACCTAAAAGAAGAAAACAAACATTTTCACCTATATTATTTTGTATATTTTGTATGAAAGTATCTCAGACTACTGGGGTTTCCATTGGTCTCCCACATGTTAGCAGTGACTCCCTGAAACCAATTAGGTGTATCACATAAGCCGGGTCTCAACAGATTTTACAGGGATTGTTTGTTTTATATAAATATATATATATCTATTAGTGATGCAACGACTATTCGGCCACTGTAAGTTCTTCAGCCGAAAATGGCCCAAAAGTGCCGAATATTTGGTGCATCCCTAATAAATATATAATCAATCCTATTACATTAAACCTTACTGCGAGATGCAGCTTTATTTCCATAAAAATACAGTACTTTGACGTGGTGTCAAAGTGAAAGTTCAAGCTTATCTATAATGATAATGATCAGGTAAAAAAATGCCGGGCACCACCAACCATGAACCAGTCACACTCACATTGACACCTGCTGTAAATACAATATGTGTAAATACAATAGTGTAAACGAAATAGTTAAATTTAACTTTGTAATTTGCGCTAGAATGTATACTGATTCTTTTTCATTCAAGGCATTTCATTTAGGTGTAATTTTACTGTGTGCTTGAAAATGGGTCACTGATTTTTTGAACCCCGCGATCCTTGCTGAGCCAGGTGTCACATAGAAGGTCTGCCAAGTGACTAAGTCTCAACTTGAGTGATGTGATCTGAAGCCAGACATTGGAAGTGATACCAATGAACACCACTTATGAACTCATCCTCTGCAGATCCATTATACATCATTAGCCGCTGTATTCTCAAAACCTTGATCAATTTGCAAAGAGGGCTTTTTCTGCGGCAGCTACATGGTTTGGCTACGGATAGAGACATCACGTATGGCTATAGTCGGAGTAAGATGAGAGGAGAGGATGTGGAAGTGCCATTCGGTGTGTTGCTATGTTACTTCTACACCTTAACAGATGTCCAATCGCTAACCCTCTTGCTAACTGAGATTTGACAGATGACGTTATCCTTCTAAAACTTTGTCCGCTGCAAACATCCCCATCCCACTGCCTCCTGCTGCCCTGGATCATCTGTCATACGTGCTGGTAGAAATCTAAACACTCACCCACTTATCAGTTAGAAGAAAGGATCAGCTCGAGTTGGTTTGTGGATCATGTCATTAGAATTCTAGCCTTAAAGCCTATAAATTAGGCCATTGTTAAATGGTGATGATCACTGAGCTGCTTTATGGGGTGTGACTCATGAAATAAATTTAACAATGAAATCACCAGTAAAACTCAACTGTAGCAGTTTATGACTGTGGTGTTAACAGTAGGTATATATGGTTTTTGTAGCATCATCGCGGACACAACCTTGTGTAAATTGAACTCGTAATTATTTAATAGCTTTGGTATTTTCACAGATGAGCTGAATCCAAAGACTCCGAGGAATGCCTCTAAAAGATCCACTTTCAATCAAGCGTCCCAGGACATTGACAGCATGTTTTATTTTTAAAGTGTATCCGGTGACAAAGAACACTTCAACCCCTTGCTTGGATTACATGTGGACGGTTGTTAGCTCATGGGCGAAGGGTAAAGTGTCTTTGAGCTGCCCTTAGGCATCATTATGCTCATGGTACATGCTTTTTAATAGGCAGGAGGGCAGACCAATCACGCTTGTCAACCTGTTGCCTAGATACTGGCAGTGTGGTTGCTAAACACCGGTCCACGTCTTTTACATCATGCACTATATTTCTGAAACTTAGAATACGAAAGATTGTGTTACCTCACAGAAGTGCTGAAGCAGGTCCCAGGAACACCTGCTCTACCGATTAAAATATCATTGCACCCATTGTATCGCAAAAACAGATACAGAGTGGATGAAGTACATGCCAGTAATAACCCTAATATATTGATGCATTTAAGAAACATGAGAAAATCTGTGTTTTGGTTAGATTTGACTTTTTAGATTTGACTTTTTTTTTATTCAACTTATTTGTATATTTCTAACAAAATAAGTCATGGTCTATTGGTGTTGTTAATTGTGGGTTGCAGGTTCGAATCCCGCCCTGGATGTGGTGTGCTGAGCAAGCGCCAAATCCAATGAACAAAATGAAATTGATCCTCCAGAAAGTGCTCACTGTTCCACGCGGATGGAGCTCGGCGGTGGCCAGGTCAGACATATTACACGTTTTTTATTTCTGCGATATTGAGATAATCTGATGGTTTAAAGTATTAAACACAAAGCCTTGAGGAAGCTATGTGCCTTCAGATTTTTTAGAGTTAATCACTGACAATAATGACCCACGTTGCAGTTGTTATTGTGTTTGAACCACATGGAACTAATTAGTCCCTCAAATCAGGATTAAACTGTTCCTTGTCTGGTTCGAACTTGTTCAACAAGTTTGCTCCTCCGTTTAACTACCCAGCAATGCACACAGGTTTTTTTGGCTTAGATTGTGCCGTGAACACGTAGTGAAGTTGTGAAGATCCTGAATGACAACAAAACAGTTGCCGAGTGGTGGTAAAAACGTTAAACTAGCCAAGCTAACACACTGTGCTTTACTTTTACTATAATCTTATAATAATATAGTATTTTTTGTATTGGTCTTTTACATTGCATAACATTGATGTGAAAAATGTATCAGAACGTAAGTGAAGGATACCATTAGGAACAATGGGTCATGTGATCTCTGTGATATGTTATACACATATGGCTAGGGTTAGTTAGGGTTATTGGATGAGATCACAAGGGAAAATGACATAATTAAATGTTTATGATTATATACTGATTTAATGTCTTATATGCAGTATTTTGACCAAATTAATATTAGAACACTTACAAACTGATTTCTCTTACGACTTTGCAACTATGTAGCTACAATATAAGTTAATCAATTGATTATAAATTCATCTTTCAACACAAAAAAAATTCAAATTAAAAGTTAGGAAGAATAAAACATTTGTTTCCAACATAGCTTGTTATAATGAATGGTTTATTCAACTGTGGCTCAGTGCCTTTTTGATGCTGCAGGCAAGAATGACTTTCCCAACATGACAAGGACCTGATCCCAGGGACAAACTTCACATTGTCAAAAGACACACACACACACACACACACACAAAGATGAATCATAAAATGTTTCCCATGGTATGATTCATCTTTGTGTGTGTGTGGTGCATGGGAAATTGTCTGAGAGCCTGAAGTCAGTACAGATAATAATTGTGGAAAACAAGAAATACTGGTGCCGTTGAACTTTAAAAAGAACAACACATTTACAGCTTTTCAACTTCAGCACCATTACAAAAGGCTTGTGACTGGTTGTATGAGAGTGCAAATATTCCATGCTCTAGGAGCTGTATTTAAATGTATATACAAAATATTTAAATACATTTTATAAATATATTTATAAGATGTTTTTTCCAACTATTTATGCTCCTCAAAATGTTTTTAATTAAGAGACAGTAAAGTCATCGTGGCTTTACACCATATTTACATTTATTTACACAATGTATACAGTATATACTATTTACGTGTGTGTATATAAATGTATAAAATAACATAATAATACTATCAGATTATGTTTAAAAAATGTATTTCCTTGTCAACTTCAGGTCAGACACCAGACAGGCGTCCGAATCGGAATCACCAAGCACATGGCAGTAAGTACGTTTAAAGCTGAGAAGCTGACTAACACAATTGTCTCCCAAAAGTTCCCCAAGCCATGATGAAAGTACACCATAAAGACTAAAATTTGGAATATATTATCCATATTTTTAGACTAATAATTTATCTTGATTAATACACAGCTAATTCATCATTCATTCATTTTTTTTACATCTAAAACTAAATAAACTTACTCTGTATTGTTCTTAATTCCTTTACGTAATGCTCCCTTGTACTTCCCCCTGACATACTGTCAATTAAAATAGAGTTTTCCCTGGTGAGATGTTATGAACAATGTCAAGTTGCTGGGCAGTTTAGCGCATGGGCTGTAAATTATCACTTCGCAGACACTGCACCGGACACTGGTAGTTTTGACTCATGTGGATTTCCCCTGCAATAGTCACCAACTGGAATATATACACACAGATGCACACAAGTATGCCAACATAACCCCCTCACACTGCGAGAGTGATTAGCCACACTGCGGTGTATGTGAATGACACTGATAACACATCTCTTCGTGGTGCAACAAACGCCAGGGGCTACTTTATCAGCTGCTCTGCCAACTGCTCTCTGGCATCCCAAATGTAAACTCTTGGCATTAATAAGTCTTTGTGATGGGGGCCACATAAAAAGCCTTTCGGACATTCAGAACACATAAACTTTAAGAAAAGATCCGCTGTTGCGTCGTCCAGTGTTTTAGAGGCCGTCTCATTTAGAGTTCGCCTGATGATATAGTTGCATTAAAAGCTCCAACTCCAGCCTTATTTTGAATAATAATCACATTACATACGTGTTCTGTCATTCTGATAACAGTGCCAGCCCTGTCGCTGACGTAGCTGCCAACTCATAAACACGCATGCATCCTACGTGAAGTAATAGGCGTTTCATGACTGATTCCAAAGGCTGAGTCTTAGAGTAATTAGTGATGTCAGGGTTTCAGGCGTTGCCCTAAATATCAGGTTTAATGACACTTTGAGGTCAAATTGACCGTGTTACAAGGTGGACGTGGTCATCACGACATGTCAGAAGCTTGTTGACCAGAATTAGTCTAGTTAACATGGTAAAAACTACAAACCTTTACAAGGAAGGTTTTACTGTATTTTTTTTTTCAAGTGAATTCAGAAGTTAGAGGTTAAAGAATTATAGAAAGATAAAGTGAAAGGGACTTGACCCAGACTGGATTACATTTTCTTTTTCAAATTATTTAACTGGAAACGTACATGATACACTGGGGCCGTATTAGACACTGGTTTGAGAGCGTGGCAGCCAGAAATCAGACTTAAATCAAACTTTTCTATCGTGACTTTTACTCTGACTTAAACTATGAAAACTGGATGACATAGACATTTAATTTAGACCTAAACTCAGACACTGAAGACTCAGCTGAACGTTATGTAATTTAAAATTAAATATAAAATTAAAAATTAATATAACATAAAATTACATGTATATATACGAGCTACCCGAAATACGAGTTTTACAAGTTACGTGTAAGCAACTTTTGAAAAAAAAATTCTTGGATTTTAATTTATTTAATTAATAGTATATTTCTGAGGAGCTGGAACGAATTGATGTTGTGGCACGTATTAAACTCGTATCTTTATATATATAAATTAATTTAAAAAATATTTAAGTGTATCCTCACTCTTTCAGTCTGAGAAGCGCTCATTATTTTTGCACTCAACTATTTTTGTGAATTCGGGGAAGAAGTTGAGGTTGTAGGTTCAGGATTGTAAAAACAACAGTGTGTCCCACAGCAGAACACAAGCAGTGAGAGCTCCGAGGTGAAAGGAAAGAGGAAAACATGGATGACGGGGTACACGACAGGGTGATCAAGACAGGGTAATAAAAAGAACAACCAACAGGCAGCCGGCAGTGACAGAAAACACAGGTCTGAACTGAACACGAGAAAACTTAGATAATAACGTAGAGAAACACACGAGGCGGGACACTGGAATAGAGATAGTGGGAGTCAGGCTCAGCACTGAGAAAAGAATGAGATGGTTGTATACGCACACCAGAAGCGGGGCACCTGTGCAACACGTCAGGCAATCACAGGAGATGGGACGAGGTGAGGTCGCTGCCAAGACGGAGACACTGGCAGCAGAGAACATACAGGTGGAAGCGGTGAGGCTGATTGCAAAGATTTACAGAAGGGAAATCGGCGTAGACATGACAATGTTTAACCAGTGCCACAGCAGTCCATAAAAATGTACAGAGGTTCACCCTAGCAATCTCTATGTAGCCAATCCGTGACATCCATGACCTGTATTTGCCTGTTGATAAGTGATTTAAATGCTTTAAAAGTTTTTTACTTAACATGTGAACACATTATTGTCTCTCAGATTGCACTGTATTCACATTACTAATTTTTTAATATATGTCAATAAAGTATATCTAATACAAAGAGGGACTGCATTATCTGGTCCAGGTTAGCAGGCTAATGATGTTGCTATGAGATCCATTTGGACTACATTCAGGAACTGCTGCTGCCTATTCTGACTAATTGTATGTATTTAGGGTAAAGGTCTTGGGGGAAAAAAAAATATGTTGACATATAATAATCCTGGGTTCGAGCCCCAGTGGAACCATGTACTTAACGGCGGCTCCTGTGGTGTCCTGTGTGTGTTGTTAGTACACACCGATTTTGTTTATAAATGATATCACTAATCACCAAATTGTAATAAGATGTTTTATTTGTTTTGTGTACATTATGTTGTACGGGAGGTCTTTTTTCAGAAGAATACGATCTAGCTTTAGGTGTCAGGTAACATCTCGTTGACTGATGAGTTTGTGTTCTAATATCGGCTGTTGGACTGAAATTAAACTGCATTTCTGTGGTGACACAATGTTGTGTTTGTACTGTGTCATTTCAGTAGGATGGGGGAGAGAGTGGGACAGGAAGAGTGTCTTTATTGAAAATACAACGGAGCAGCTTAGAGGTTTGTGTTCCCTGGATACACCGTATCTATTTATTAACATTCCCCTTACTGTGACCCTTTTATTTTAGCATGCTGATTCATCTGCTGTTCATCCCTGAAAACCACACAAGACCTCTAGGTTTACAGTGGCACACTTAATGGACAAGATGAGTTGGATACTGAATCAGAGTATCAGAACAGGAATGAATGTAGGTTACGACAGAGAATTTAACATTATTATGTGTCTGGCCTTTTTATTTTGTGAAGTCCTCGTTATTTTCAAATAATACCATAATGTGACACGTTTATGTTTTACATACTTTAAAATAAAATAAGACTTCTTTTTTTTTTACAGGTGTGTTGCTGACAGGATATCTGCTGAATTGGCACATAGTCAAGAATCAGTGTCTTTTACGGTGTATGGCAAAGTTCAGCATGCCTTAAGCCCCCCAGGTCTGGCCAAAATGAATGACGCAACATTGGTCCTCAATGCCACATTACCACAGGGGACTATGGGTGGAAATATCAGAAGTGGCCGAAGAGGCACATGCATTGTGGCTGAGGTGAGTTTATCAGGATTATTTGTGTGTGTTTTTGTGTGTGCGCTGTTGATGGGGCGGAGGTGGGGAGAGGGGGCCGGGGTAGGGTCATATGTAGTTGCTTGATATCTATATCCTAGCAACTGTGAGTGAGTGATATCTTGTACAACTGTGGCAGGGGATTGGTCGTCACGGGTACAGGCCCCTCCTCTTTGTAGGACAGCTTTAAGAAAAAAAAAAATCTCAATTCAAAACATCACTCAAACTTCCTCCACTCTGCACTGTACCTTCTGGCACTTTAATTTAGGCCTCTTTTTTTTTTTTTAGACGTATCCATATGTTTTTTTTTTCTCCATTAAATAGATTTGCTAATGTACAGTCTTTGATACACGAATATTTGAGTTTATCATTTTGTTGAAATTAGCTTGACAAAATGAATTCACCTTACCCAGCTGTGCAGTACTACTCGGAGTTCCCTTTCCATCGGTAAGTACAAAAGACATTATTAAAAGTGACAACTTACAGTCTTTGCAGTGTCATGTCATTAACATATCCAAAATCATGGTTTTCAAAATTTTTATTGAAAGATATAAATAGCTTGAAAATGAGTGGTCAAATCTACAAAGTCAGTGAAATTTGAATTGATAGATTTGAATCACATTGGAAGGAGGCATTTAATATCAAGTCTTACAACTGGAGGTTGAACTCAGTTGTCTTCATATGTAATGAGTTGCAAGGTTTGAGGGAATCATATTGTTTTATTGACTGCTGCTCAGAGCAGGCCTGTTGGAAGATTCAGATACAGATTTGTATATATGATTGGGTCCTTAACTGCTTTAATGTCCTTATTTATCATTTCAGTTCAGCCATTCATGCTCAATAGGCAGGCCTACATGGATTACAGCTAAGCCTGTGGTTGATGCTGTGAAGAACTGTTAGAATTTCTATTAGCTGGCACCCTGTAAGTCAGATGAAATTCACTTTAACAATCAATAGCAAGAATCTACCTTTTATTTCTTTGAGTATCCTAAGAATTGATACTGTATTATATAGCAGCACATATGTAAGAAACCTTTTTTCCATCAATCTGACTGTAGGCTGTTTGTTTGGCCTTCAGTCTGTCCATCTATGTTAATGTGTTTGACCATTTGGGCTTTAATCAAACTAAAAAAAATAATTCACATCTGCAGGAGTGCAGGGTAATACATAAATGAATGTGTAACATCAGTTCTCAAGACAAACTCTCGCAATCATTTTCTCGTGTAATTACATTTAAATAGTTTTGGGTTACTTACATCTTTATTTGCCGTTATTTATTTTCTTCAGCTCATTTATTTTCTTTTCATTCTAAACCTTTAAGGAATATTTACCTTCCCATTTTGCTCCCCCTGAGGATTTGGGCTCAGACAGTTTCACTTGTATAAAGTCAAGGGATAAGAGGAGGAGAAACTCAGGTGCTTTCTATTGTTTTGGTGTCGTGTCCCTCTTCCAGCCGCAGCTGACAGATTTGGGGGAGAAGGTCTTGGGTCTTTGAACAAGTGATTAATAGGGACACTGGAGAAGGGCCCCAATTGGCTGCGCTGTTTGTTTTGATTGCATTTTCATCGGTCGGTGTGCCCAACCTGCCAAGAGACAATAGCCATCTCTGTTTGGAGCTGACCTTTGCCCCAGTCTTGTCTGGAGGCGCTGCACTGTGTTTAAGTGGATGCTGAACAGCCTTGGCCTCAGGCTGACTGAAAGACTCTGAGTAACCAGACACTCTAAGCAGACGAACAATCAGAACAGGGATAAACCCATCGATCTTAAGCTTTTGAGTTTGTGTTTGAATATTCTTTTATCAGTTAGTGAAAACTTCGTGAAAATCGTGTTCATTCTTAGCTGTTAGAAATTCAAAGTAGATACAAGCGCATTTACTATGTATATCTAAAAATATATTTGTTTTTTATTTATCCTGTATTTGTCCTGCTGTTTATACAACACCACAAACAACCAAGAGAATACAGCAATATGTATTTATAGTGACCTGTTGACTGTAGCTTATTTGACATAAAAACTGTTTGTTAGTCAAAGACAACATTACTTGAAGAAGCAAAAGTTAGTGGAAGGATGTTGTAGTAGGGCTGATGGTCCTGGGCCCACTTACCTTGGTAATTGGTACAACACGAAACATTACAATTATTATTATTAATATTATTGTTGGTGCTTTATTTCGTTACAGCTGACAACAGCAGACAGAACACAAAATCTAAGAAAGGTGGCTGGAGCTTGTGCTTTTCGGCAGATAGATCAGCAACTTGTAGTTTGCTTATGATAAAACCCTCTGCTAAATGAATAAATGTAAATGTACTGTGCCTCATGATACCTTTTTTTATTTTTTATTTTTTTTAATGGTTAGTTTGTCACATTTTGGTCCTGTGGTAGACTGGTGAACTGCTCAGGGTGTAATGTGTCCTCGCCCGATGACTACTGGGATTGGCTCTAGTTACCAGAAAATGCGTCCCTGAAAATTATGAATCTGTGCATTAATTATTATTATTTTTAATTCTTATTCACGTGCCCCCTTATTATAAAGTTAAATGGACAAAGTTAAATATTTAATGTTTTACAAAGATTGTAGATCTAGTCTGTTTTATTAATCGATCAATATTATTAAACAATTAATCCGATAATACTACACAATTAAAATATATCATCACAATTAATCTAAACCGTACCTTACAAAATAAATAAAATCGCATTTATTTAGAATTTCTCTTTATAAGGTTCTACCAATATAATCCCCATAATTCCCAGATCTTAATGATTGTTCTTGCTGGGCTGCAACTGAAGTTCATTTTGCGCGATCACGATCACATGCACGTGCACGATTTGAGATCAAATCAGTCGCTGCACCTGCTACACGAGGAAAGGTAACGGTTAGTTTGAATAAAACAAAAACAAACTGACAAACAAAAAAAAAAGAACGTCCGATATTTTAAATATATACATATTCCACACGAGATAAGTGGTAGGTTAAAGTAGAAACGTGATATTTGTTCAATAAAACAAATACACAACGCTAAATTAAATCCGTTAGTAAAGTTATGCTAAGAAGCTAAAGTTGTTACGCTAACAACCTAAACTGAAGATACCGTTAGCCGATTGTTCGCAGCTATTATGTTCAATTCCTTTTTAGGTGTTTAGCCCCTTATTTAGATATTTAGTAAAATTGTGTAAATATCTGAGTAACTTTGGGGCACTTGGGGTTTTCCCCCGAAATAAACAAAATGGAGTTTCCATTTAGCGTTCTTCAGTCGGGGTAGAAAAGTGTCTCTACTGTATATCGTGTTCATTTTTTATATTGTGTTTGCCCCCTTCCCCTATATTTGTATTATTTTTAACTTTTACATTTTGTTGTCATTCAGTTATTGGCACAAAGAAAACCTTTGTATACCCATTTGTCAGCGTCAATAGTTCATAATGTTGACGATGTGAAACCACACTATTATGAGTTCCTCTGTGAAATATACGTATACATATATACATATACATGACTATGATTTCGCAAAAGCTGCTGTTAGTATTTTATACGTATATATTATTAGAAATTAGTTATTTAGGCGAGCATCATCACCGCTGTAAAATCAATTAAGAGTTGTTTTGCTTAAGCTGAGTAAGCAGCAAATCGGAAAATAAGACGTTCAATGATCAGAAACTCTAAACTGTTCATTCCAAATGCAACACCCCTTCATGTGGGATTTCTGCATAACTAAAATTATTGGCTTCATTAGATATGCCTGTGTTTGTAAGTCAGGTATTAATATCATTCATCACGCAGTGTTGGGAAATTCCAAAACCCAAAATAGTGCCAGCTTCAGATCATGCCCCCATCCACCCACCAACCTCATCAACTCAACCACCCTTACCCCACCTCTCCACCCCCTTCAGGCTGGTCCAGCTGTACACATACCACAAGTCGCAGCAGTGCTATCATATAGACTGCGGGGGGAATTCCGCCCGTCTAAGACTGCAGCGTGCGCCACTTCAGCAAGAACAATGGCATGTAGGGTTGTGAAGCAGGTGTAATGTTTCAGGGGAGCAGGTCCAAGTGTCTCTGTCTGAATGGTGCATAATCACCATTATGTGTGGTACAAATATTCTGCAGTATGCAGCTTGACTTCTTCACAATGGATGTGCTCTACATGAATGGCTGCTACCGCATGACATCTCCTTTTTTACCTCTGCTGACTGGGTGGCCAGGTCTCAGCTTCGCACATCAGCGATGATGCTGCTGTTTGTTTGCAGAATATTTTAAACTTGCATTGTAATGTTTGCAGAATATTTTAAACTTGCATTGTGATGTAAATGGTAATTTAGAATTTATAATGGTATTTTTCAAACTTCCATGTATTATGTTTCACTTTGCAGACTTAGGGACACTCAATCTTGTTTATCCTGGAGAGAAGGCTCATTCCTGAATGCAATGGCAGCAAATCACACTGCACAGGCAACTGACTTTTTCAGCCAAGATGTGTTTCACCAGCTCTTTGATATGCTTGACCAGTAAGTGGGTGATTCAAACCAAAGACAATCCATTGTAAATGCAATAACACACTGACTCTAGTCTGCATCGCTGCAATGTATATCTGATGTGTTACAGGTCTGCCATTCATTCAGTCCAGCCCATCGAGTTGAACTTCACAGAAAGTCCAGTCGATGGTTCTGCCGGAAACACCATCCAGATCAGTATGGACTGTTTCACCATGCATGGGCAGGACGACACACAGTCTGTAAGTATGTGGGATTTTTTTTCCCATAGATACTGTATCCACATAGGCAGTGAAATGCAAGACAGACTGACAGTTTTTTTAGATGGGTTAAGTGATGTAAATTACTAATTTCACCAATGTCATTTTTTGCTTTTATTTCTTCTCTCGCGATTACAAATCATTTTGTTTAAAATTAACTACTGATGAAGCATGTAACA